TGGAGAAATGGTGAGGAGTTTCAAACTGTCAACAATGGCAGTGGAGGACCAGAACAAGAAAGAATAATTAAAGCACTGATTTTCAGGAGAGGAAATTAACACAAAAAAAGAAGGAAAAGTACTGTAATTATTTTCCCTCCAAGCCCGCATGAAGAGGGATCTGCCCTCTTTTTTTTTTTTTTTGAAGATTCTTGAAAGAGTGTATAATTACATTGATTATTAGGGAGTATTATTTGGGAGTATTCTGTCTGGAATTTCATTTCCAATTTTTGCTTGTGGTCCTTCCATTATAGCTTATGTAGTAGGGTATTTTTTTGGTAAGGTTAGAGTGCATCTTGGTTTGATAACGTGGATTTTGAATTTTAAAACAAGGTATTTTTGAATGAGGTTATTTTAGTTGGCAATATGAGATTGGTTGGGTATTTCCTTATTTGGTTGGTAATTTGAAAATTAAAATTTGTAAGGTTACTTGAATAGAATCTGTGAATTCTTTTGAAAGTTAAATATTGACTTGATTCTTTAGAATTTGAAATATATATTAAGCAACAGTTTTGTTTTTTTCACAAAAAAAGTACTCCATCCGTACACAAATAAATTTTACATTGCGCGTTACGATGTTTGACTGAAGTTATTTTCAAATCATTTTATATAAAAAAATGGTGTATAATTGAAAAATAAAAATTACATATTAAAAAACTATATCAAAAGATCTACAAAACTAGAGGTGACATGACTATATTATTTTATCAAATGGGTAACAAAAATAGAGTAACAAAATGAATAAAGTTTAACCCTATGAATAGTGAACGTAAAGTTTATTTGTGAACGGATAGAGTATCAACATCATCTTAGCTGAGGGCCCCACAACCTGTCTAGGTAGTAACCTAAGGGCATTTACAATGTAGATAGACATGCTTCCCGATAGTCCGCCGCGCCCCACTCCCGGCGCAGAGCCGGGCTGAGTTTCCGATGCAAGATCGCGGCGGCTGTCTATTGTGACAGTCTGTCGTGCCGGTTGCCCCCCCCCCTTAATTTTTTTTCTTTTTTTTACTTCAACAAATTCAACACATCTTCATCACTCCCATCTTACTCAAATACCTTTCTTTCCATTTTCTCATGATTCAAAATGGATTCCAAGGACAACAACTTCAACTTTGATGATTCCAAACTCGATGCAGTCATTTGATTTGTAAACTTCGGTTCTTTACCCGATGACGAGTTTACTCCGTTCTCGGACTCCAACGATAGCTCCTACTAATTATCGCTCGTTAATATATATGACCAACTATGGTGTTTCTGAGTTAGAGCCCATCAGCGAGAGTGTTAACAAAGGGAATGCCAAAAAGACGAAGGGCCGAGAAAGTATACTCTGGCGAAAAGTCTGAGATTGGCGAATCGAAGTACTACGTCGATGTGCCAGAGGACGCCATCATCGGCAACTATCAGAAATAAAAATGTTTTGGGAGCGTGTTGTGACAAAGTACAATGCCAGGAGGCTCGATGGTACGCCCGTATGTGACGGGGTGATGCTTTGGAAACACTGGAGCCGTGTCCACCCAGAAGTGCATAAGTCTGGTGGATTATATGTCAACGTGCTCAAGACGTGGCCCAGGGGGTCATCCGCCGAGGACATAATGTTGAAGGCGTTGGACCTTTATTATGAATTCGAAGAAAAGAGTTTTCAAATTCCAGGAAATCAGGAAGATTCTACAAAAGAGCCTCGAATTCAAAAGGGGGATGAGCCTGGAGGATCGGGACCGAAGCGATCCCAACTCTCAGAGACTGGTTCGTACTTGATGAGCGGGAGCGGACATTCCATCGACCTGAATGCCACAGTGGATGAGTCCCCCCATAGATCAGAGGATGAACCCAATGGTCAAATCCGCCCAATCGGGTCAAAGGCGGCAAAGAAGGAGGAGGGGAAGGCTAAGACAACGACTCCTAGAAATTAGCATGGCACCCCCACTCATACCTGGCTTTTGACATAATAAATAAAAACCTTAGCTTGTTAGCATGAGGCATGAGCTTTGATGTTCATTGCATCAACCTCAGTAAACTCATGACAATGGATACGTTGAGGATGTTGAAGATGGAGTTGAATTAGAAGTACCACCACGACATGATGGCGGTGATCCATGTCATGATAAATAGGGCAATTTTGTACTGTTTGTTTTTTAAGTCTTTATTTTCCAAACACTTCTTTTATTTTTAAGTTTTTGTAATTTTAATTTTAAGAATGTTAAATTTCTTCTTTATTTATGGAGTATTTCTTACTGGGATTACATCCCTAAACCTACCTCTTGTCATTATTGGAGACAACTTAATATTGTATTATAGCTTATTTTTAAATTTTAAATTTTTTAATCATTTTTTTAATTTTATAAATTTTTCATCTTTTTTTTTAAAATAAAATTTTGTATTAAATTTATATAAGTTTTTAATTAAAAATAATGTGGAATGCTGCTATGTGGGAAGGAAGGGTGGGGGGGAATTACTTGGACTCACTCCCCATTATAAATGCTCTAAACAAAATCTCTAAACAAGATGGGAGTGAATTGTTTAATTTCATAATTAGAAATATGAGAAGAGTGTAGTGACAACATGATGACAATGTAAATAGAAAAATAAAAAAATAACTAAAAAAAATGTTGATTGATTAATCGTAGATAGACTACGAGTCAACGGTGGTCAGAGCTAACTAACGATGGCGGCACTCCGGCGAACTCACGGGGACATACAATTAATTACCCTTTAGATGGCAAGCCAAACTTCTATTTAAATCTTAAAAAACTAATTAAGAAGTTCATTGGGATATTTTCATATTTTTATACCCATCCCTATTTAGAGACTTCTTTGGTAATCATGGATTCACTTTAATTTATTGATTCATATTCAATATTGATCCCTCTCTTGTTTCAAAATACAAGAATAGTATAGAGAAATAGATTAATGTACTAAACTAAGAGCAAAGCATAGAAAAAGTATCAAAATAGAAGTTTCATTTTTTTATCACCAGAAATGAAGTACAATTCTAATATATAGTACCAAAAATATAATGGGATGCCACCATATAGTGTTGTAATGTCATAGTGAAAACTCTTATTTTGAAAATAAAAATATAAACTCTTGTTTTGAAGATAAAAATATAAAACTCTTATTTTGAAGATAGATGTTATCTTCTACTCCTATTTAGAGTAATTTCTTGATAATATATGTAACAACAACCGTAACAACCCAGTTGAATCTCACGAAAGTAGGGTATGAGACTTGATAGCATATGGATTAAATTATAATGTTAACTTATTTTAAAACAGCGATTAATTTAAAATGTAATTTATTACCTGAGTAATTTATTTTGAAGTATATATAGGGCCTGTTTGGAAATAGCGTTGAAAATCAGCGTTAGCGTTTTGGATAAAATTTTAACGGTGCAAATTTTTTTGAAAACGCTAACACTAAACGTTGTTCGTAGATAACCTTTTCAAAACGCTAACGCTATTCCCAAAGATACCCATAATGTTAAAATATACTGCATATGAAAATTAGTTAAATAATACTCCCTCCGTCCGGGAAAAATCTTCCTAGTTTGACTTTTGGTCATTTTTAGTGAGTGTTGACTTTGACATTAAAATGTCCAAAATACCCCCATATCTTTTTTTGTTAAGCCCCAGGCTGCCCCCAGCCAGTATCCTACCAAAACACTCCAGCCCACCGCCGTTCACCCCTACCACTGTCCAGCCCACCGCCGCCCCACTTTGTTTTGGAGTTTCTGCCCAGCCAACCGCCGCTCCACTATCCACTGCTGCTGACTCACCGGTGACAATTGCCCAGCCCCCACCATCTCTTTCATCCCTCGCCACAATAAAGAAAGAGAAAATATAAGGGAAAACTGAGAAGAAAAAGATCTAGTATAGATCTACCAGATCTAGCTCTCACCGCCCCCATCAGCTCTATTATGGCCGCTAGCCCCACTGATCTAGCACAAATCTAGAAGAAGAAGAAGAAGAAAGAAAGAAAGGGGGGGGCACAAAGGCGTAGATCTAAAGAAAAAGAACAAGGTTGAGGAT